TAAATAAGATGGTAAATGTATGGTAGAACCAACAGTTTCTTGCTTCACATCTCAAGTTACCTGAAGTTTGTTTTCATTAAAATGTGAAAACAAGAGCATAAAATTTATAGATTAAACTATGGTTTACATCTTTTTATGGTGATCAAATGCTTCATTGTAGAATAGATATTTGATATCAGCAAACTGCTTCATATGAGTGAAAACTGTCACCTAATATCTGTTCCCTCTGTATATAAGGCTATAGGTCATGGGAGGAATTTCTGAAAGAAATATCCAAAGTCTTGGAGAAATCTTTTTTTTTCCTGCTCTTGTGGATGTGTCATTGGGTTTATATATCAAACATGTTGATTAGATTGGTTTTGGTGAGGAAATTCACACGTACACAAGTGTTTCTTCAGTTGTGCAAGAATTACCAAAGCAACGTTCCTGGTGGTTGGCCAGTAGATGTAATAAATTGTTCAAATAAGCACCATATAGATAAACTGTCCCAGTGTGTATGGGTTTTAAATAAGGCTGCGTTGATATGAATGTCTGCAGATGAATTAACTGTTTCTATACGACTCAACAATAGTTGACGGCACTTTTCCTTTGAGTATTTAGGCCCTTTTCTTACTTAGAACAAAAATCAAATACAAAAACTTTGTATTTGTATCAGAAACAGTGCACACACACAGGAAGACATTGGATAGTATATATATACTGACATTAGTACAGGGTAGTTAAAATTAAAGCCTGTAATATTTTCTTTCTCTAGCTAATTCTGAATTAACTAAATTTTGAGCTAGAGAAAGAAAATATTACAGACTTTAATTTTAGCTACCCTGTACTAATGTCAGTATATTTGCAGCTTGTACCAAAGCTTATCTGCTGTGTCTCTGGTGCAGTATTTTATACTGTTTGAGAAGTATATCTTGCAGTTTTACTAGGAAGAGCATAAAGAAGTTTGAAATTGTGGAAGTCAAAAGGTGAATAAATCTGGTATTGGCATTTGTGAGAGGAAGCCACAGGGAGGAGGGAGCAAGCTTGTTTTCTGCTTCCTTGGAGACTAGGACGCGGAACAATGGCTTCTACAAGAGAGGAGATTCCATCTGAACACGAGGAAGAACTTCCTGACTGTGAGAGCTGTTCAGCAGTGGAACTCACTGCCCTGGAGTGTGGTGGAGGCTCCTTCTTTGGAAGCTTTTAAACAGAGGCTGGATGGCCATCTGTCAGGGGTGATTTGAATGCAATATTCCTGCTTCTTGGCAGGGGGTTGGACTGGATGGCCCATGAAGTCTCTTCCAAGTCTTTGATTCTATGATTCTATACCATATAAAGTTTTGAGAAAATGAAAAACTTGAAGTTAGCATGTGAAGTTCATATATAAGTTTGAAGTAGTTTGAAGTAGTCATATCACAGATAAATGTTGATTCTACCATTCTTTGAGACTCCTGGTTTATTTACAGATTAGCACATTTATTTTCCCTTTCTTAGTTGTTAAAGGCATTCTGCTATCTTTAATTCTCTTCCCCTTCATTTCCCTGTTCCGTTACTTGTGAGGTCTTGGGCCACCTTGATGTGTGATGAAGGATCCCAGACTAAAGCACGAGCGTGAGCAGAGTAGCTCTTATATGCTGCTGGATGAAATGGACCCTTATAATTGTTCCACACTGTCAATATGAGACACTTCTTATCTTTCTTAAAAAAATTCCACTGAAACCAGTCAAATTTTATCATGGAAAGAATAGAAGTTGGTTGTTTTTCCTCCATGCTCTTTTTTCCCTTCTCCACACCAGCCCACCCTGGTGTAGAGGAGGAATTGGTCATGGCTTCCGCTTGCTTTGGTCCAAAATGTTCCTCCTAGGCACTCTGAATTAAGATGATGATGATGATTATTATTATTCTATTACCGATATTGGAAAAAGAAAACATTTCCAGACAAGTAGGCAAGCACTTCTCTTTCTTCTACTTGATGTGATACCTCATCACTAACATGTTATTACAAGTGAGTTGGTGAGTTTTCTAACCCAGAGATACATGAATACCTTTTGAACGGGCTGCTTGAATTCTGAGAGAAGCCTAAAGAGACCTCACTCTGTCCACATGAGTGGAGCAGATTGAATGGCTTGGAGTAAGCCTATTGGGTGCAATAGATTTGCCATGTAAACAGGCCTGTTATTTTTCAACAGTGAGCATAGATGTGTGAGTATGTAAAATATTCAAGAAAACCAGACATCAGTTGGACACCTCCATGTTTTGAGATGTATTTTATATACACACTTCCTGTATAGGTTTGTTGATGCATGCTGTACTTCCAGGTGTATTTGCCTTTAATAATAGAAACGTATTGCAGTACATCAAATTTAGGAAAATTCATATGTGAAATTTTAAATATTTATTGCTATGGTAGTCCTCTTCAAAAAGATTTCAGCTAACCCAAAAGATAAGCCTATGAAAATTGCTAGTATGGATGCAAATTTCACTAAGTTATCTCTCTGTTAGTTACATACAGTTGTCATTTATGGCACATAAGTATTCTGAAAAGCAAACAAAGCAAAACAGAAGTCTACACGTAGATCTCTACTCTCTCAATTAACAGAAATTGCCCTGTCTAGTAACCTGTAGGTGTCATAAGTAACCATGCTATTGTGTAAATCCAAAGTAAATTGCCTATAGCAAAACATGTTAGAAATAAGACAACATTATAAGAAAATAATAAAATAATTCCCTATATTAAAATTAAACAGTATAAGATGGGTATCAGTATTACCTAATCCTGTGAGCTCAAAGATATCTGGAAGAACTAATAAAAATATTTTTATAAAACACATAAGATATCTCTAAACTCTGGAATTCAAAGAGGACATCTGTATTTTACTGTGCTTAGTCTGAAGAATTAAACGGAGGTGAAGCAACCATGTTTTCAGACCACAGATTTAATATTTTTGTCAATGTTAACTAATCCCATTTTATGCCCAGTGCAGAATTCTCCTTTAAAAAATCCTTCACACTCAGTAGACATTTTCATCAAACTTATCTCCCCATACTCCCAAGATCCGTTTCTGGGTCATCCATTGCTACCACCAAATTTCATCATGTGGCATTGATTTTTATAGCCTCATGTGAATCACTGCAGACATTATTATGTTCAGCTTCATTTGCCATTTTAAACTGACATTCCTTGGTTTGAAGATATTTTTTCTTTTTTGATTTTGTTCTCAACATTTTAAATGCATTGTGCATTGGTCACTTCTCTATTTACCTATGTCTCCAAATCACTTATGAACAAGTTTAAAAACACAAGCTCCACAACAAAACACCTCCAGCAGATTTCCAGTTAGTATAAAGAGCAACACTGGACTATAGTAGAGTGCTCTAGATAGAAGTGTGTGCTGCCTTTGAAAGATCTAGTACAGCTACTGGGGAGGGAAGAATTTTGTTTAAGTGGTTGTGGTGAATTGATGTATTTATCTTTAGCTGATTCTCCATCAGTCCACCAGGTGGACCACCCCTTCAAAAGTGTGACTAGGACAAATGTGTGACATGCCACATACCAGGCTGTCTAGAAACAGCTTCCCTAGCTGCTTGTTGATTTTTAATCCCGATGCACCAAAGATAAGGGACAAGAACATCTGACAGACCACCTATTTGGTGGTTACAGAACCTCCTTTTGTGGGGAAGTTAGATTTGCTCTTTCATTATTGGCATTTATCTGGTTAAGAAAAGGCATATCAATCTATTAGCCTTTGCTGACTGATTCCGTTCTTGGATATTAAATATAAAAAATTTATTGTGACGTTTTTGTTAGTTTTGTCTACAGTATGAAAATAATGCATTGCAAAGAATTTTACTTGCAGCATACTATATTTAGGGCAACAAGGAGGACAATAATGTTGTTTTTGTGAAGTAACAAAACAGTGAGTAATATTAATCCCCCTTTTTTAGTCTAATGAGTAATCTTTGGGATGGTGGGAGGTGTTGTTGTAGATTTTTAATTAAAGGTACCTGTAAAGCAATGTTAGCCATTTAAAATGTAATGTTATATCCTAAAAACAACCATAACCTAGCTATAAATTCCTAACTGAAGATAGTGTTGCACATTTTTATGTTGTTTAGTTTTTACGTATTGTGGTTTTGCTTTAAATTGCCTTGAGCATTCATTAGGAAGATGAGCGATTCCAAAATATTTAGGTTACATCATACAGTTTTGAAATGTTCTAAGTAGGCAATACTTACGGTACTTAGATCTTTTTAAAACGATGTTCCTCACAATACAAAAACTTAGAACGGCTTAAAGTACATATAATATTATGAATTAAATGTTTCTGCTGTAAACAGAAACTCTGAAAATCAACGTACTTTGGTTGAAGCTCAGGACCTCTTTGTTTCTTCTTTCAGCAACTCTGCTGCTGCCAGTGTTGTTTATGGGTTTTGAATGTATTCAAGACAGGCTTGTACAGGCATTATACCCAAAGGGCACCTGTTGGTTAAATGAAAATTGGATGGTGGTGCTACTGGCTGGACTGGGGAGGACAGCTGCTGGGGCTTTGGTTGGTTCCTTCTTTGATCCAGTCATCCGACCTGGCAATTAGGAGGGACACGTTTTGCTGCTTTGGTGTAATGATGTCTCATTGGATGAGGGTGCCCAAAAATAAAATTAGGAATATAACAACATCTTCCCCAAAGCTAAAAAAAATAGCAGATAGAAAAAACATGTTTCTGTTAAACCAAATTGAAAGGGCGAAGATGCATGTTTTGTTTTTTGTTCTCCCCAGGTGCATTAACTGTGAAGTTGGCTATTAACGAGATTTAGGCAACCGCCAGACAGAAACCTGATCTGATATTTTTGGAGATCTGAATCTGTCGTGTGAGGTTCTCCTAGGAGATATGCCTCTTTGTCACATGCACAGGGTCTTTTCTCCCCCCTTAATTCTTTCTTCTACCCAGTTTCCCCCATTTTTTGCTAGAAACATTTCTGCAATGTGAATGCTCATCCTGTGGATTATTTCCATGTCTTCCAGCTTTCTGGCTTTTCTCTTACTTGTTGATTTTCCTCTTGACGTCACCTGACCTTCTGGATTATTTCTGGAGCAGGATGAGGAGGTTGGTATTTTTTTACTAATCTGTGCTGCACATCAAAGTGTTTGGGCTCATTTTCTAAATCTCTTCCTTCTCTGAGATTCCTTGAAGCTTTGTGGTACTTTTTGTTTTTGTTTTTTTGGAATTCAGATGCTTTCTCAGTCACAACCAAAGTAATTTCTACTGTATTAATTCAGTGAAGCTTAATGATTGTGAATGGGAGTTTGCTGGTGTGTAGTTTGATTTCCCACTTCATCTAGTTTTATGATGCAACCTACTCACAAGCTGAATGTTGGAGGAGGTGTGCATGCGGTGGAAAGAAACTTGATTGAGACTTTCTTATGGGCAGTCTAGTGGAGGAATGTGGTGTAAGTGAGACTTAAGTTGTTGTTTCTGAATGACAGGAGTTTTTGACAAAGGATTATAAAGTAGTAGTATGTTGGTACTGCCAATTATTGGCTCTTTCTATATTGCTTTTAGTCTACTTGCTTATGCTTTCCTGCCACCGACAGTTAAATACGGTCTTGGGTTTTAAATTATTCCCCACTCTTCTGCCAAACTTTGTTTTGAAATGATAATCTTTATCTATATATATATAAACCTAATGGTCGTTGTTAGTGGCCTAAAAACGAACAAACAATGGGGCCAACTGACATCAAATTTGGCCTCCAAACTTCTCATACCGCAAGGTATGACCAACAATGAAAAAAAATTCCCAAAACCATGAAAACAGCTTTACAATTCTTAAAAAATCAAAAATACCTTACCACACATGTGCAAAACCTAGCCCCGCCCATCCGTAGCAAAGCAGCTCCCTCTCCCTGCTTCGGCAGCCAAGCCCAGAAGGAACAGCCCACCAAAGCTGCTCTGAAAAGCAGCCTTGAGAGCCTTCTGAGAGAGGGGGGTGGGGGAGGAGGGATGGAGAGAGGGAGAAGGATAGGCGGAGGGACAGAAGAAGCCAAGAAGCAACCAAGCCTTTTCCATCGGTCAGCCAAGGAAGGCGAGAGGGAAAGAAAAGGGAGGGAGGGAGGAGGAGCCATGCCAGGAGGAGGCTACACAGGCCTCCAGAGAGACACAGGGTTCAGTAACACATCTCATACTCCAGGCTTACTTGGGCCCTCCAGGCATTTTGGACTTCAACTCCCACAATTCCGAACAGCCATACTGTTCTGGCTGTTAGGAATTGTGGGAACTGAAGTCCAAAATGTCTGGAGGGCCCAGGAGAATGATTCTTCTGTCACCACTTGGATCTGAAGTGTAGTGGAAATATATTGTTGAAATATATTTCAACAATATATTGTTGAAGGCTTTCATGGCTGGAATCGCTGGGTTGTTGTAAGTTTTTCGGTATGTGTGGTCATGTTCCAGAACATGGCCATACAGCCTGAAAAGCTTACAACAACCCAGAATAGAAATAGTTACCTATTTTTTCCCCACAAAAAATGCTTCTCTCTGGACCCTCTTGCCTCAAAAATGTTCATTAACATTTTGGCCAGATTTTAAATTGTGGATCTGCTTGTTTCACTGTGCTGACCTTCACAGATTTCCCCTTTCTCTCCCCCACCTTTTCCTGTGAAAATGGTTTTGTAAATGATGTCCTAATCTTACTATGCAGTATTTGCAATTTTACAACTGTTTTACTTTAATTGGCTTGGTAGATGAACTATGAAAGGTGTATGTATAATTCCTTGAGAGAGAAAAAGCAACATTTTGGTCACACATTCCTCTCCCTATTCCCCAGCAGTTGTGCTGTACTTTGAGTAGTGGTGTTCACGCAGTATGATTTATGAATGCTTCCAGTATACATACATTAAAAATAACTTCTATGTGTACACATAAAACAGCCTGTGTTTTTCCTGTTAACATTTATTTTTAGGAAGTTTTATGCTTTGGAAGGGAAATATTGCTCAATCCATTGCTTTACTTTTATTTAGGATTATATTTCCATTGTTTTCCATAATAGCTAAATGTGAAACAAATATTATTAATTATTATTTTGAGCATTTCTACTCTGCCCTTCTCAACCCCCGAGGGGAGACTCAGGGCGGCTTACAAAAGGCACAATTCGATGCCAGCAATACACATAGTAAGATAAAATACATAGCAGCAATAATTATAAAATAATTAAAACAATCCAGTTATACAATGTTGTAACTAATAAAACCAATCTAGTAAATTCATTCCGCATTGTCATAATCCTATCCAATTCTAGTCGTCATTGTCCTTTGTCTGTCTGCCAGATTACCCAAAGGCCTGGTCCCATATCCATGTTTTTAGTTTCCTTCTAAAAGAGAGGAGGGATGTTGATGACCTAATTTCCCCAGGAAGAGAATTCCACAGGCGAGGGGCCACCACCGAGAAGGCCCTGCTTCTTGGTTGATTGATCGATTTTACTCAATATGACTGTTATTTAAGGAAACCCTCTTTTTATGTTTGAAGCTGTTCAAACTGGAGAGCAGTGTTGTCTTGGTGAAGTACTGTAATAGCAAGTGAAAGAAAATACGACACGAGCAAAAATATCCTGCCCATTGTAGCAAGGAGTAAGTTTTTAGAAAAGCATCTTGAATGTAATTTGTATGCTAAACTTCTTATAGTTAGGGATGTGCAGAAGATTTTGAATTTACTACATCAAGGGCATCAGGTTCTCTATTTTATATCCCATCTTTTCTCCCAATATATTTGATATCCCATCTTTCTGCCAAAGCAACTCACAGCAGTTCTTCTGCCAAAAGGGTGAGCAGCGGCCCTTTTCTAGGAACATAGGACGTACTCTGGAGATAAAGATGTTTTCTGTAACATCATCTGGTTGTGGTTGAATATCCCTGGAGCCACTGAGGATTTTTCCCCATGAAAGATCTATCTAACAGGATCTTTTTTATAGTGATAAAAGTGCTGACCAGAGTCCTTGTCCCTCAGTCTTCTCACTATATTTATGGATACTCGTTTTCCTTTTATAATAACTACTCTGCTAAACATAAAACATCATGCAGGTGTCATGTTGATTAAGTTGTTCTTTGAGACTCTCCTTGAGCCTTAAAGTGGGGGAAATCTTAGCAAATCAGCTGTGCTTTTTTGTTACCGAATAAATGGTGGATCAACCTTGGAATGATTTCGAGTGCTGAAACACAAGCATATTTCTGTTTGTGTAGTCACATTGTGGGCTGTCTTTTGTGGTTGTATTGGAGTACGAGGGAATGCTTAGGCAGTGGGAATCATGTTAGAAACTGTGTATGTGCCTGAATGCATGCATGGTATTTTTTATAAATACAAGTAAATTCTTGTTTTGATGGGTGGAGTGTGCTTGGAAAGATGACTTACGATGCAATATTCTCCCAACAAAGAGTAGATTTTGTTTCTTCACTTAGGAATAAGTGACTAGTATTTGTCCATGATATGGAAAAATTAAATATGATACATTTAGGGCTAGCGTTCAAATGGCTGGCTAAATCTCTTTCTTTGGTTCCCCCCAGCCTTTCAAGCCCTTTAACTGCCCTTTGCAGCAATTTCCTGCAACACAAGGAAAGCAAAGAAGTGCATGGAAATCTCAGCAGACATTGGAGGAGGAGCTTGGCCACATTTCCTCCTCACTTTTTCTTCTAGATGGATTTCACACAGACACTTTATGTGAAGTTTCTGTACAGCTCTATCTTGGTTCTTGGTTTTTTGGTTTTTATTGGAGAATCATGGAACACTGGGAATTGGTGTCTCTAAACTGGAAATTGGTGTCTCTAATCCTTCCTTTTTGGAGGGAATAGTAGCTTTTTCCAGTTCTCTTCTTATATTTCCTTTCGATAAGATCTTGGTGATATTTTACTCTTAATAGAACAGTGATGAACTAACATTATGGAGTCATTTCCCTATATTTCTGTTATAATACTATGTTCAAAACAAAAGACGCTGTGTACAGTTTAACTATGTTCTTCAAGTATATTAATGTTCCAATTAGCTGTTAATGGAGATTTCATGGCTGCTGTCAAAAGTGGCAGCTTTGTCTCCTCCCCCCCCCCCCCCCCCCCCCCCCCCCGGTAATGTTTAGGAAACTTAGTGACAGTATTGTTTTGGGTTGGAAAAAGCATTTATCAGTTCAGTATGGTTTCTGCTTTGCTAGATATTGCAAGGGTTGATGGAGATATCTGATTAGAGCTTGAAAATTTTACTCTTGACTGTTCAGTGACCATGCCAGCTGTGGATTCTGGTTGTTGTCCAAAAAAGGAATGTGTCCCCAAAACTGTGATTTCATACAATAAGGTCATTTTTTGACCTTTGTTCTTCAGTCCCAAAAATGGAAAACCTTTGAAAACCCAAATAGCTAAAACTGTCAGAATGGTTAAACTTGGGTAAGCAAAATATAATACATAATTGACCAGACTTTTTCACCAAATACTTCCTTTTCCTTTCCAAGTATTTTGTGTGTTTTTTAAACTTTATTTGTGAAACTGGCATGCCTACTCTGAGCATATATCTGAAAATGTAAACTATAACTTTTTACTAAATGAGGATTTCAGTGGTATAATATTCCATGGCACTGGATATGTTGCAGTTAAATTATGATCTCTGTGATGAACATCTTAAAAATGCAGCCACATCCTCAGTGTTTCATGCCTTTTAATGTGTGAATAAATGACTTGTTCCAGCACAAGCATTTTTATTGACATCATTATGGACATATTTGCATATCTGAGAACAAAAGCAAATACAGAAGCAGAAGCTATATATTGGATCATAACAATACAGTGTGGGAACAGGACTTCGTTGTCTCTTTAATGCCATTGCTATATCTTTATTAGATACCAAGCTCGTTGTATCTTGTTCATTTGCAGAGGAAAAGGAGATGAGGGTTTCTCATTTGTATGAGCTCTGTGACATGATATGCAAACAAACAAAATAGAAGGTTCCTGGCCTAATAAGTGCATAATTGGAGATTTTACACAGGAGAAGGCAAAATTTGGAAGAAAGGGTTAGGGGGAAATATATGTTTATTTCAGTTTAAATATGCTTAGTCTCAACATGAGATGATAACTGAA